TTACAATATAAGACCAAAATTTGGGTTTTGTGGGGGGGGGGGGGGGCGAGGCGAGGAGAGGTAGAGAGAAGAGGACATGGCCTTGGTGTGGGACTAGGTTAAGTCTTCTAAGGAAGCCCTGAAAGAGGCATACAAGTAGCCCTTTTTTAGGAGAAACTGCAGCACATATAGAGGAGGACTACTGGAATGATCAAGGGGATTGAGAGCCTGTTTGGAAAAGAAATTTAAGGGTTTGTTTTAACCTACCAAGGCAGAGGCAATGCAAAGAGGATATTATTGCTAATACTTCCAGTGCAGAATGTTAGAGGGAATGTCCATTTGATCTTGTATTACTGTTTCATAAATGGAAACGACTTTAGCTCCTTCCCTCAACTCTGGAAGTCTAGACTATAACCTCACTCATCCAGTAGCAAGTCTTTTGTGCTATAACCTCACTCATCCAGTAGCAAGTCTTTTGTCATATTTCCAGTCTAGATGTAATAATAGCCAACTAGAAGGGGTTGTACAGCAAGTTGGGTTTGATCTGGATTAAAGCTCGTGATATGATGATTTGGGTAGCCTGTTCTTTGGTATCTTTAAAAGAGAGCGGATAACTTGATTGTTCTCATTAATTACATGGAGTACACAGTTGTGTTTCATGGCTTGTGCTAATTGCCTTCCAATTCAAGGCATGAATGTATGTCTGTGATTCATAATCTGATACTTTAGTTTAGTTGTATCTTGTTTCCACTCTCTGAAGTGTAAAACTGACCGGAATTTAGAACTCAATACCAAAACCACCATCAGTTGGCTGTTCTTGTCCTGTGGGCAGGATCGAGGTGGCATTCTGTCCCTAAATCAGAGAGGAATTTTCTCTTGTCAACTCATTTGCCATTCTCCATGCCACAGAGAATGTAGTCCAGTGTAATTAAGTTTTATGCTACTTAACTGAAATCTGTCTAATATTGGAAGCTCAGGAAGGGATGGCAGGAGACTTTACAGGCCCAGCTTGCTTGCAAATCCACTGTGTTTCAGCCTGAGCTGCACCACAAGGTCTTGATGAGCTGTCCCTGGACTGCAGAGGGGTCTCTGCGCATGAGAGGTTGGCATGACATCCTGTAACAGGATGAGATGATGTCCAAGATTCCTGCAAGTGTAGGCTTGTTTGTTTGTGATATGCTTGGGGCTGTGGCTTTCCTGTATTTAAGGATGTCCAGCTTTGTAAGCTTCCTTTCCATCATGAAGTAATAAGGACCATTCACAAGATTTTATTTCTTAATGTCTCTGAAAATTCTTTATACATACAGTCTATTTTTGGTTTGGAAAAAGGAGATAAATTTGCTACTACTTCAGAACAGAACAATGAATTTGACTGCTAAGAAGTAACAAATGCAGTTTGCTAACATGTTGAGAACTGTAAAAGGTAAAAATGAGAAAGTGTGTGTTATGAAAACACTGTTAAACTGAAAATAACAGGACTGAAAAAGTTATCATAGGTAGCTCCCTTGTTATGGTGGAACTGCGGTGCTAAAACTATTTGAGGCTGCAGTTTCAACAGGCAAAATGCTATGTGCCTATGATAAAGCGTGACTCCTTTACACCAGACAGTCTCCTCCGTGCTAACTTTACCATTTTTGCTTTCAGTCAAATCCTGGTATTGTCACTTGCCTTGAAAATCATCCACACAGGCTTGAAACAGGGCAGTTCTTAACCTTTCGGGAAGTTAATGGAATGTCATGCTTAAATGGATCCACACACCAAATAACAGGTAAACTGTTGCTGACTCGTTTGTGAGGTATTTACTTTTTGGCCTGTTTTAGCTCACTGTAGCGTTAGTTACTGTAGCCAGGCTGGGTTGTGCAGACCTCCAGTGAGCTTGCACAAAAAAATTGCTTTCTGGTACAAAGGTCTTTCTAGTGTTGTCTTGACTCCATTTCCATTTAGTAAAGTCTTTCCAGACTCATCTTGCTGCTTAAGGAGCAGTGGAAACTCTCAGCTAGTGGAAGCTAGTTGGCAGCCTCTGAGGTTACTGTCATTAGTTTGCTGACAAAACTGTTTTGTTTTCTGGAGGGTCCTGTAGTGCGTGTGCTTCTGTCATGGTTTTGGACTAAATTAACGCCACTTTGTGTGTCACTGTTTGACTTGTAGTTTTTTGGGTGACAAGTGTACAGGGATGCGTTGCCATCACCCTGTTTCTAAGCATGATTTTGAAGTGATTCTCATGATTTATGTTTACTCTGCTTTGGTCTGCATCATGCATGTCTCAAGGCATACTACTTGGTTCCTTTTGGATGCTGGGGAATTGCCCAGTTCCCGGATCTGAATGCCTGTTTGTCTGGAGCAGAAGAGAGTGCGGGTGGGTGGGGGTCGTTTGCTTGTTTTTAACTGTTTTGTGGTCTGAGACAAAAACAGTACCCTTGAAACATGTGGTTGAGTCTGTTTTCTCCAGACCCTTTTGTTTTGCTAGTGCTGTGTTCAGTTCCTTCCTCTTAATCACGGCCCAGCTTTTGGTTTCAGTTTTCCATGAATTAATAATTTCTGTGTCATCTTGCTTTTATCTGAATGATGGTCCAGGTGGTATGAGAGGAAAGATGTGACTTAAATGCTTCAGCTGCCCTTTTTGATTGCCTGTTGTCTAGTCACGGGGCTAAAATCCTACTCTGAGCAGTATACTGGACACTGCTGTGTGCAGTCTAAATAAAACTGAGAGTGATTTCATTTTTGTTACAGAGCTGTAGTCATCAGAATTCTTGTTAAATCTGCTGCCACTTTAAAAAGCTTATTTCATAACAGATCATGTGAAACTAATACTTTAGCCCAGAAACTGGCAGAGAGGAACAATCCTGCTGGTTAGGAGGATCAGCTGTGTTTATGCTTTCAAAGCAAGGTTGCACACTACAAAATTACAGCATAAAAACCATTAGCAAAACCCCACTTTATTGTATACAGAATTGTAGTCTCCAATGACACTTTTAATTATCAGTCACTGTTTATTCTGTTCTCTTTTCAGTGGTGTCACCTTATTCCTTCAGCATTGGCAATACGTCAGATATGGAGCCTTACTTACATGGAGGCATAGCTGTCCAAGTGAAGACACCCAAGGTGTTTTACTTTGTAAGTGTGTGCTTGACATAACCAGGTTCTTGAGTGTTAATGGTCTGAGCAGTGGAAGCAGAGTTCAGCAGATACATGATTTGGTTACCCACGATTTGGGTTTACACTGGTGTTATTGGGTAAGAGTAGTCATACTGATTTACTAAACTGTAGAGAATAGGAAATACTTCAAAGTTACCTTCCAGTGTTGAGAAAAAAAAAATTGTGGGCAGCCTATCCCTGTGCTACTGGGGATTCCATGAAGGTCTACAAATCTGTGGTTTCTTGGAGACCTTCTGAGAAGAGACAGTTGGATGACTTTGTATAAGCGGGATCGCAAGCTACACAGTGCTGTGTGCCTTTTTGGGCCCGCAGAAAGTAGATCCTGACTGTTCTCAAACATTCTTCTAAAAAGCTGGGAGTGAGGATGAGCTGCTTCTGATATGAGAATGCTCAGTATTTTGTCTCTGTGAAGCAGTACCTTCCTGTTCTTCCTGAGCAGGGAAGTTCTACAAGCAAACAGCCAGTTGCCTATAAATTCTCTGGTAGCTGATCTCAGAGCAGTTTGAGATGGATCTTGCCACTAGGATGTGAAACATCTCTCTGACCATTTTTGATTGACAAAACTTGCAGTAGATGATTATTTTATGCGTCTTTTGTGGCATTGGACTCTCTGATCTTGAAGGTCTTTTCCAACCTAAACTATTTTATGATTCTGTGATTAATAATGGAGAGAGTAGTAGCAATGCTAGTAAGAAAGGATATTTAGTTCTTAGTCTCTCCAGGAAGAGTATTGTTTTGTCAGGTAGCAGTGACTGTCATGTACTTAAGTGGGTGTGTTGTTATCATGAATTCTATTTTTCCAGGAACGGTTGGAGCAGCAGATAACAAATCCCTTATGTCTTGTTGCAGATTTTAGCAAGCCTGAGGTAATTATCATGTGCATATTTGGGTGTAAATGCTTTAATGTTAAAACTACATGGAATGTAATCTGCAGCTTTATGTGTAGAACAATATAATTTCCTAACTTGATTCTGTAGTGTTTAAAGTGTGAAATAAGAGTGAGGTTATCACTTTGTGAGGTCACACAGAATATACATTATAGTTTAGATCACCGTAGAGGCTTGTTATCCATGACTTGCACCAAGTATATTGTAAATGCATAGCTCAGCTACCTCTGCTGTTTAAAATCTCAGTTTTTGTTAAGTCTTTAATTCATGGGAGTGTAAATTTTGCAAGTGACACAATGATTTTTCCTGTATTTAATGATGCTTGGCTGATACAAATCACACTGGCATCGAAGCTGGGATAATCAGAAAAAAGTGATCATAGGCTGGTTGGAAACTGGAGCTAACAGTGTAAGAATAATTTTTTTTTCTTTGAAAAAATGATTCAGAGGTGTTTTTAAAATCTGAGAGGAAGCTAGTAGTATTTGCCTCTAACACAATTTTAGTTAAGTATTATGGACATGCAAGTCATGTAAGTCTTGGGCTCATTAAAATCTTAAACTGAAAAATGTTGATCTAAAGATTTTTTTGTTTGATAATATAAGGTCTGACTTACCTGTTCAGATTTTCTACTTTTGACCCTTAATGCTGGGCTTTGGCATTGATGTTTGACAAAAGGCAATGCATTCTAATGTCTAGTTAAGAGAAGATTACCTCATTTTCCAACTTCAGCTCTAAATCCTTTTGGGGACTCTTTAGTTGGACTTCGTTGAAGTGGGTGCTGCATGTATGTGAAAGGTATTGTATTACTACTGAGTAATACTTTATAATCCCAGTTTGTAAAAACATTAGTGTAAGGTATTTCAAATCACTTTTTAATGCTATTCAAAAACTTTTTTGGAGCTATATGGTTGAGACAAGGAAATGAAATGGCAACAGAAGAGTTCAAATAGTTGCTTTTGTTTTCTTCAGTTTTCTTGAGTTTGTAACTGATCAACAGCTATTGTTGTCTTAACAGGCACCTTTGCAGATCCATGTTGCCATGCTTGCCTTGAACCACTTCCAGGAGAACTTTGGTCGCAGACCGAACATTGGGTAATGCAGCAGTTTGTTTGCTAAGCCTAATCAGACAGATCTCTCTGTTTGTTTTAGTTACTGGTTTGATGTGCAGCAGGATACCTTGTCTGTCTGGTATGTAATAGATGACATAGAAATGAGAAGTTGAAATCTAGATGAGAAATGCTACCTAATGCATGTCTGGGTTTGTAACAAGGCATTCCCAATATAGCAATGGCACTTTCTGGGCCCAGGTAGACAGAAAATGCTTCTGGAGGAAGTCCTTCTCTGTTCCAATTTTTTCAGATTGTGGGGTTAATATGGAAAAGTTGTTTCAGTGATAATTCAGTGATTCCTGAATTATCCTGTAGCTTATGGATTTAAAAAAAGAAAAAAGTCTGAAGCATTTGTTTTTCATTTTCAGTATTTTGTTTTCAGCTGTAGTTCTTGATGTGCATAGTTTGGAATTAAATGAGACAAAACTACTTACAAAGTATAAAGACTGGACTTGTACATGGGCTTCTCCATTGAGACTCCTATTCTTGAGCTAACCATAACATTTAGAAGTGCGTCTCTAATGCTTGCTGTTAAAGCCAATATACATTTCCAAACTCTTCCTACTCTATCCAGTGCTTTTTTCCTCCATTGACTGTGTTTCTAGAAGGACTCTGGAATGTTTAAGTGATCACTGTTGTTTCTACCCTGGTGTCTAGATGCCTTCAAGATGCTGAGGAAATGCTGAAAATAGCCGTGTCTATAAGTGAAACACTGGAAAACAAAGTGAGTAAGGAATCATTGTCATTATGAGACATTTTTGATGCACTCATTTACTTGCCTAAAGGTCATGCTTTAGTTGTTGGTCCTTGTTCTGGTCATGGTATCCATCTTTAGATGGATCAGCTGGCTTTCTGAAGGCCATGCGAGGAAACAGAATGGTGTTTCAGCGTGGGTTCAGCCAAACGTTCACCTGATACGAAGGTTGAATCCTGTGGCTATGTGAATCCAGTTTTTAGATACATGTGTATTGCAAGTACAGGGCGTACAGTGGATCTGTCTTGGCTGGAAACCTTTTTGCTAGTCAGAGTGAAATAATTTGTCTTCTACTGAAGAACAATAATCTATGAAACAATCAAGCACTGACTTCCTTGATTGAAGGGATAAATCTGTTGTTGTTATGTTTTATTTTTCAGCCTCAGGTGAATGGAGACATAGTGAAGTGGCTGTCTAGGACTGCTCAGGGATTTCTAGCTCCTCTGGCTGCAGCAGTGGGTGGTGTTGCTAGCCAGGAAGTCTTAAAAGCAGTAACAGGAAAATTTTCTCCATTGCAGCAGTGGGTAAGGCTGTCTTTGTTTTTGGATCTTTATTTTGGTAGTGATGTTACAAATGTATGGTTGTGTGTAAATGTAAATGTATGATCAAAATAGCCTGAACAACTTGTATAATGGGGGGTGGGGGGAAGAAGACTTGAGACTGAATTTAGGAAAAGATATAATGTTTTTATGTGTACAATAAAGTGCAGCCAGTTTTAGTTAAAATTTTCATATTTGGGGTTCAGACATCACGTTCTTTTTTCCCCACAAGCAAGGAGGGCACTGGTCTGTCAGTGCATGGCTGCAAAGGTGTGATATAGTCCACATTCCAGCTTAAGCAGTACATAGGAGTACATAGGAGCAGTGCTTTCACACTCTCAGGATAAGTGTCAGAATACAGTTAGCTTTAAAAACTTCACAGTCTAATTTGGAGGGGTAACATGCCTGTCAGAAGTCAAAAGCTTGTGGCTTACGTTTCAGTGAGCTTTTTCCCCCCTCTGTGTCCAGGTGCTTTTTCCTGACCGCTAAAACTGTGAAGTGAACTGTAGGGAACTGAATGCTGTATAGTCTTCCACTGACAGTAAAAACTTAGAGCTTCTAAATTTCTAGACCCTGTTGTACGTAGAAAATATTTACTTTGTTTTTTAAACAAAAATAACAGGGATGCTTTTAACAGGTTTTTGTTGTTTGTTTTGTTTTGTTTTTTACAGCTATATATAGATATGTTAGACATTGTAACACCTCTAGAAAAGATGGGCTCTGAAGAATTTCTCCCACGGTAAATGTAACTACAATCTGCTGTTTTATGTACTGTTCACATCTGAGTCTCAAGCAGGCACAGAAGATGTCTTTTAGTTCAGTGCCATTTGCTGGAGGGACAGGTTTGGTGTTGAGAATGTGTGTCCTATTTGAGCATGGAAAGAATAGGAATTATAGGGGACTCGGTCTGATTTTCTTAGTTCATGTCTAAGTGCAGTTTGGCATCAATGATACTACCATAATAAATGGCAACTTACTAGTCTTCTGTTTTTGTCTCCTATGCCTGCATAGGGGAGATAGGTATGATGCCTTGAGGGCTTGTATTGGAGACTCTCTGTGCCAGAAGCTGCACGATTTGAATGTTTTCTTGGTGAGTATGACTGACACTGTTACACTTTTTGCAAATGCTTTGTCGATACAGCTAACGTCCACTGTCTTCAAAATAATGACAGCAGCCCTGATGATGTGTGCCACCGCAGAATAAATGGTCCAAAATTGTAATGGGACTTGTGTATTATACTTGTCTTTGTGGTTTTCACTTACGTTTCTGACTCTTAAAAATGTCATTTTCTTTAGGTTGGCTGTGGAGCGATAGGCTGTGAAATGCTAAAAAACTTTGCACTTCTTGGTGTCGGTACTGGGCAAGACAAAGGATTGGTAAGTCACCTGTTAACCTCACTTTGCTTGTTAAAAAGTAATGTGACAAGGAGTAATTGAATAATTAGACTACTTAAAAATGCTAAAAGTCTAAGCCTTATTTCAGGTTGATCTCTACGAAGAGGGTAAAATGGCCTCAGCATAGAGTGGAAGTAGTGTGCAATTAGAAGTAGAATCATAGAATCGTTTAGGTTGGAAAAGACCTT